TTTTTTTTTTTCTTCTCGCTTCAACGCTAGCGCCGCATCGTCGCCGGCCGGTGCGAGGATTGGTCTTCTCCTTCTCCTCCTAGTGACGCACTCCTGCCTTTATGCGGATCCAAGGGTTCAAGAAATTTGAGGGGGAAAAAAAACGATCTTCAAACCACCCGATTGTACCGGACCGCTTGACCCGATCGTCAGCACAGCGATCCAGCAACGGCCAAATCCGAGCATCATCCTCACTCGCTCAGCCCCGCTTTCAGCAAAGACACCGATCAATCCAGAGGTGATGATGCATTGCAGAATCGAAGGCTTTGTGCAGATCAGCCTCGAAGTTCATTGCCGAACCTGCGCACCAGACACACCGCGAGGATGCCAGCTACCAGCGCACAGCAGCCGCCGAGGCGGAAGACGATGCCGAGCGCGTCGCTTCTCTGGCCGACTGGGGCATCGGGTGAGCCGTCAGCGCCGGTGGGCGCATCGTCCGATCCCCGCTTCGGCTCCATGATGGCAAAGATGAGCGACGACAGCGCAGTGACTAGGAACTGCGGAATCACGACCGCCACATTGTGCAGCCCGAGCACGGTGCCTGCGTGTGTAGATGTGCTCGACGCTGATGTCGATCCTTGCTCCAGATCGGCATCCCGAACGTGGTCGTGAGGGCTGTTATCCCCACTTGTACGTTCGCTTTGGCCGCCAAAGGAGAGTGTGGCTTCGAGCCGCTCCTCGTCGTCCGAGTCGGCATCGCCGTGTGCGTGCTGGGGATGCTTCTGACCGGCGTGCGAGACGGGTCTCGGCCGGCTCTGTCCGGATGCATCGTAGGAAGGCGTGCGACTGATGGACGTGCGCCGCTGATCGTCGTCGCGCGAGCTGTCTCCGAGCAAGGCCATCGTCACCTCGTCTGCCTCGTCGCGCGACGCACGCACGGACGACGTCGGCCTGCTGAGCGCGAGCCCGCCAATCCCTGCTCCGGCTGGCACCTCCTTGGCATGCTGCGTCTGAATGAGGATACCCAACAGGCTGTACGGGATCCAGTTGCTGCACGCAAAGCAGAACCCAACCGACGCAATCACCCACGTCGCCAGAAACACGCTCTGCGTGAGCCCGGCAAAGTAGGTGCCCATCATGGAGATGAAAAACACAAAGTTGGCAAACACCCACCAGAAGGGCAGCTCGGGCCAGCGGTCGCGCATCCCACGCAGTCTGCGCACGAGGGACGAGTCGGCGAACCACACGGAATGCGTCTGCGACTCGTGCACCGGATTGGGCACCACCAGCGGCAGCACGATCGACGTCATGAGCGACAGCACCGCATGCCAGAAGAATGCGCGGCTGCCGGCACGTGTGGCCTCTTCAAACAGCTCGTGGTCGGACTGCTTGCCGCCGTTCATGCGCACGTCCGCCTTGTAGATCTCGCCCACCCATACGGTGCTGTAGAAGAGGATGGGGAACCAGCCGATCTGGGCGAAGAACTGGATCTTGAAGATCTCGACGATCGGCTGCGGAAGGCTGCGCGCCTGGGTGTAGAGGTCCGCAAACACGGCTGCGGCTCCCGAAGGCTTGTGCTTCGACGCAGATGAGCCGCGTGTGCGCGACGGGACGAGCACCTGCTCTTCGACGCGAAGCACCACCAGCGCATGTGTGGCGACGAGAATGGCACTGACGAGCACCGAGATGATCTGGATCTGCGTCTTGCCGAGGACAGTAGGCGACACGCTGGGCAGATCAAGATTGCCGATCAGGAAGCTCAGCACAGATCCGACGCCGCAGAGGCGTGCCGCCCATGCGTTGGCTTCGGCCTGATCTTCTGTGGCCGCAACGTCGACCATGAGTGCGCGGTCGAGCGCCGTGACCGCATTTACAGAAAAGTCGACGAGGTACACTGCCAGCACGCCCATGAGGATGGCGAGGCTGCGATGGGCGTCCGACTCGTGCGTGGTGAACCAGCCCGCCACCTCCCTTGCAAAGCCGAGCAGCAGGATGCTCGCTGCGCAGATGAGCGTGGATGCAGCCAGGAACGGCCGGCGCCTTCCGAAGCGCGACGTGCTGTTGTCCGCCAGGCTGCCGATGAGCGGCTGCACGATGAGGCCCGACAGCGGTCCCGCGACGAACACGGCCGCCATGGCCGATTTGGAGAGCCCGAGGTCGAGCAGATACGGTGGTGCAAACGCCATGTCCATCGACCACACCGTCTGAGCACCGAGCACGCCGAGCGTGAGCAGCGGCAGCTGCAGCGGCGCCGGAGCGTGTACACGCGCATCGCCCACGAGCCGAAGCCCAGCACTAGCCGTGCCGACAGACACCGCCGAGACTCCCACCATCGCGAGCGTCCGACGATGAGGGGTGAGAGCTCTGTGCAGAGTCGGCGCTGGAGGCGATTCCTGGAAGAAGGCTCACAGTGCCATCTATGGCATGGTCCGTCCAAGTGCTTGCGATGGTATCGATGTCCGTGTGTACTTGAGGCTTGCAGATGGGGCTCCTGGGAAGAGGGTGGCGTGGATGAGAGCGTGTCGGAGAGAAGCTTCGAGACCAACCGCCGCGCGGTTCATTGAGTGGGGCGGTGGAGAGGTGCTGTCGAAGCATGCATGGGTGGGGGCGACAGCGCCGTGCGGTGCTGCTGAGCTGCAAGGAGGATTCGGAGCGTTCCTGGCAGAGTCGCCGGAGCCTTTATTGCTCGTTGCAGCGGGGCGAGCGCTGACTGCACCCTGGCTTGCGCCTGCGTGTCTCGCCCAGACCAACACCGGCAAGAGTGGTCTCTGTACGCGCCAGGTCAATTTGGACATGTTAGGTTGACCAAAGCGTCGAATGCTGTTTTTCTCTCGCTTTCGTGCGGCTGCCGCGAGGGAAACGCGGTCGGTTCGAGTGGAGTGGAATCGGCACATTTGGACACGGATCGCTTCTCCTGCTTCTCGTCGTCGTCTCCACCGCATTCCCCCTTTCGACCGACTCCAAACAGACAGGCATCCAGCGCAGAACACCAACAGGATACGCATCTGTCACATCGCACCGCGGCGCTACCACCAGCTAGCTATCGCGAGCATCACTGTCAAAACACCGCCGAGACTCACGGATTCCGATCGTCCTCAAGCCACATCAGTCGATCGCACCCTCACCTCTCCAACACTGGACACTCTCTCACGGTCTGGCACCTCAACATTTATAACATGTCGAGTGTAAGTACTCGGTTTCGAACGCTACATGGATTGGATGGGAGCCTGACGGCTCTTTTTTTCTTGTGCGTGACAGTTCCAGCCAGTCAACCCAAAACCGTTCCTGCAGCTGCAGACGGGCAAGCCAGTGTTGGTTCGGTTGAAGTGGGGCATGGAGTACAAGGGCTTCCTGGTGAGCACGGACAGCTACATGAACCTCCAACTCGCCAACACCGAGGAGTTCCAAGACGGCAAGTCCAACGGCATGCTCGGCGAGGTCTTTATCCGCTGCAACAACGTGCTCTACCTCCGAGAACTTACGGACGAATCTACATAGACCCCCACCCTTGCCCAGCCCAAAACTCGAGTCTGCCTTTCGAGACATCCACCTCAAAATCGGTCCTCACATTGTATTAGTACGACCCAAAAAAACATCATTTGTTCCAACCTACAGCTCACTTTCTACGAGATCTGCGGACGGGGTTGGGGATTTCTGTACATTGATCCGCGTTGCGATGCGGCCCTTTTTACATGTGAGCGTGCGGGTCCTCGGGGGGCTGTTCGGGTGCAATAGTAATGGCATCGTCGATGCGGAGCAAGCTGGTAGCCGCCTCGAGCGCCGACTTGAGACTGCGGATCTTGCTCACGGTGGGCTCGAGCACACCCGCCTTGAGGTTGTCCTTCACCTGGCCGTTGAGCAGATCGAGTCCGTAGAAGCGCAGCGCCTTTTTGGGGTCGCCTGCATTGGCGCTCTGGGCTGCATTGTGGTAGGCGCGAAGCTTGGCGACCAGATCGGTGCTGTCCTTGGCGGCGTTGACGGCGAGCGTCTTGGGGATGACGAGGAGCGCCTGGGCGAATTCGGCAATGGCAAGCTGCTCGCGACTGCCGAGCGTGGTGGCAAAGTTCTCGAGGTAGATGCTGAGCGCCGACTCGACCGCGCCTCCACCGGGCACGACCGAGCCGCTCTCGAGCGTGCGCTTGATGACGCACAGGCTGTCGTGCAGCGCACGCTCCATCTCATCGAGCAGATAGTCGTTGGCACCGCGCAGCACGATCGAGCTCGAGCTGACGGTCTTGGTGCCGCGCACGAGGATGAGCTCGTCGTCGCTGATGCGCTCCTGCGCCACCTCGTCGGCGGTACCCAGGCTGCTCGCCTCGAACGTCTCCTCGCCCTCGAGGTTGCTGAGGCTGCTGACGAGCTGGCCGCCCGTGGCCTTTGCGATCCTGCGCAGGTCCTCCTTGCGGCAGCGACGGACGGCCATGGCGCCTGCCTCGACAAACTCCTTGAGACACAGATCGTCGATGCCCTTGGTGGTGAGGATGACGTTGGCGCCCGAGGCGAGGATCTTGCGCACGCGCTCGAGCACGATCTCGCTCTCGCGCGCGCGGATCTTTTCCAGCTGGTCGGGGTCGTCGATGGTGATGTGGACGCCGAGGTGCATGCGCTGCTTGACGAGGTTGATGTCGAGCAGGGCGATCTTGGCGTTGGTGACGCGCGTCTTCATGGCCTGGGAGGCGACGGTGCAGTTGAGGGCGTAGCCGTTGATGAAGAGCGACTCGCGCGCCGACTTGCCGTGCGCCTTGAGCACGTTGACGGCCTTGACCGGATACTTTGTCTCGCCGCGCGGGTTGACGGTCTTGACGGCGAGCATGGCGTCGACGGCGATCTGCGCGAAAAAGTCGTCGTCGGCGCCGATGATCTTGCTCGACATGCTGGTCTTTGCGACGTTGATGAGCGACTCCTTGCCGAGCGTGTCGACCTTGGTGGAGAGCTGGTCCTGGAGGTATTTGCAGGCCTCGCGGCAGGCGAGACGGTATCCGGTGATGATGGTGGTGGGGTGGATCTTGTTCTTGACCAGCTCGTTGGCGCGACGGAGGAGTTCGGCGGCGATGATGACGACCGAGGTGGTGCCGTCGCCGACCTCCTTGTCCTGCTGCTGTGCGAGCTCGACGAGGATGCGGCCTGCGGGCTGGTCGACCTCGAGGAGCGAGAGGATGGTGGCGCCGTCGTTGGAGATGGTGACGTCGCCAATGTCGTCGACGAGCATCTTGTCGAGGCCGACGGGGCCGAGCGACGACTTGACGATGTTGGCGATGGACTGGGCGGCAAGCACGTTCTGGTTGCGGATCTCTGCGCCCGAGAGACGCTCGCCGCCGATGAAGAGACCGGCGTTGCGCGGATCCTTTTGGAAGAGCTGCGCCATGGCTGCGGGTGTAGGTGTGCTGGGCCGGTGGGTGGAGGAGGATGTCGACTCGGATGCAACGAGCAGGCCCGAGAGCAGGCGCTAATGTCTGAGTTGCGGTGGTGGCGGTGGTGGTGGCGGTGGTGCTGCCGTGGCTGAGGACGTGACCGGCTCGAATCTGCTTGGAGGCGATGGAGTGGCAGCAGTCGATAGTCGATAGCGGAACGAGGAGCGGAGGCAAGGTCGAGCCAGTCGAGCCTCCGCCGCCAACACCTCCCTCGGCCGCGACTTTGAGCAACACCTGCACCGAGCACGCAGCTGCGAAGGGCAGCGACGCGCGCACCGCCCTCTCAGCACCCAACTCGACTGCCGCGCTGCCAACCAAAAAGTTGTCGGGTCAGAAGAAATTGGCTGCCTCTGCACGGCACCCGCTCACCACCCACACGCCGCCGCGCGCGCTGTGTTGCTTTGCTGCCTTTTCTTCCTCGAGCTTCTTCGCTGAGCCTCGGAGCTAGCTCTAACATTCCGAATTTTACCCACTATGTTTAGTATGCCGGTCTCACATTGAATGTGAAATGCGATCGGGCGCGACCTTTGTAGTCGCCTCGCCGGGCTGCGATTTCAAAGCCACCTTGAGAAGAAATTGAGCGGAAAAGGCGAGCAAAATGCCCAAATACGCGAGCCTGACTCCATTTACGGGACGCGTGCTGGCATGGCGTGGGTTTGTGTGGGAGAGACAAATTTTCACGCCCTGTTTTCTTTTCCTTTTCTTTTCTTTTTCTTTGCTTCTTCTTTTGTACCTCGCTATGGGCCCTGGGCTTGGCGGGCGAACCCTTGCTGCTTGCTTCTTGCTTTTTGGGGGATTCTTATTTGTTCGGGCACGCGACAGACCCAGGCGGGCCGGGTATTTTGGCGCAGCAGCCCCGCAGCCAAGCCTAAAAAAATTGCAGCCACAGGTGGTGAGCAGAGAGAGAGAGAGAGGCTTTTCAGATGATGGCTTCGCTCTTTCCGCCCTTTCCACGGCCCTGCAGGCCTGTCTGTCCATTTTTTTTTT